AGAGGATGAATTTTATCAATTTTAATAACTTTATCAATCCTAAAAAAATACTCTATAGTTGTAAAGTTTGTTTATTGTTTTCTTATTTTTGAACAACTAATTTTTTAAGAATTTTAATAATTTTTTTGAAAAGTAAACTAAGTACTTACATTGTTTGTTTAGTGTATTTTTAAAATTGATATACAGAGCGTTAAAAAAGAATGAACGGATTCCATGATCAAATATTTTGTAAGTAAATTAATGAATCAGAATGAGAGAGTGGCTATTCGAAAGGTTAGGTTCCTAATTGTCAGATGGTTACTCTCCCTCTGAATCCTATTAGATCATTTTTAAATAAAAAATGCCTCAACGATCTATTGGTTGGTAGGAGCTCATGACATTGCTCTTTGTGTTTGGTTTCCTAAATATCCTGACCTCGCAGTTTGTAATTTTTCCTATGGGGATATGTAGAGGGTTAAGTCTTTGATACGCCATTGCCAACTGACCTGGATAACTTAAAATATCGAATAACAACAACGATCAATTCAATAGATTCTGATATGCTTTAACGTTTTTGTGAAGAATTCTGATGTCATCTTGATGTCCGTGCAAAAAAAATTGGTTATATTGAACAATTTGAAGATGTAAAATAAAACTTGACTACGAGTAGAATACTTGTATATAAATTCGATTTGTTTGTTATTTTTCCATTAATAAAATATTTAATCATGAAATCGGTTCATTCTTTTTGAATCACTCTGTATAATTTTTACACTTAAGAAAGTATTTACGTAAAAAGATTAGTTACAAACTCAGAACCTACACATATTAATTATTTTTAAATTTTTATCGAAAACTGGTTAGATGAATGTAGGAAATATTTCGACATAGTTTAAATTTATTAAAAGAAATTTAAACCGTACGTTCTTTATAGCCAGTGATTCTATTCGTCTGATTGTCAAAAATAGTGGTCGTGTCTTAATATAATAATTATGGAAAATTGATAGTCATGTCAGTCTTATAATAATATTTTAGAAGAAAACTATAAAATACAATTGGTCAATACTTTTTCTTGATAATTTATTTAGCCACTAAATTGAATAAGAGTTAAATAATTTTATCAATTAGATTTTTTTCATAATCGTATTGACATTATTGTTAATTATAATAAAAATTTGTTGAGCTAAATATTTGATTAGCTCAAATCTTCCACATGTCTAACATGTCTTTTTTTATAAACTTATTGATTAAAAGAAAGTAAAATTAAAAAATCATGTTTATGAAATAGCTATTTCATTTTATTAATATATTGGCAAACAAATGGTCCCCTCTACTTATACTTAGATTCAAGATTCGATCGGGTTAACTCAAATAAACATGTATACGCAACGATGCAAGTGAGAGCACAGGAGAGAGGGCACGTAGTGGTTTTTTGGCAATCTAGGACGGACCTTGGGACCTTGAGAGTTGTTACGCGCAGTCGTATTCGTTTTGTTGGTGCGTACTGATCGACAGCTGATTCATTTTCCTTTTATTTTATTCATGGAAAACTTTTGACGTGTTACACTTCGTTTTTATAAAGAAAGTTTCTTTTACTGTCCGTAATACGTTCATTTTTTTACATACTTGTGTTCATTTTGAAACTACATTTGTACCGGCGTTTTAACATGAAGATGCAGACTGCTAACGGATGTCATCACTACCAGCTGCTGTTCGTTACAAGAAATCTTTCCATAAGGTTTTTACATGTTTGATATTTTTAAAATTAAACGATTTTATGATTAATTTTCGCTTCAATTATTCATTAGTGTCATTAATATGATTAGAAATCCAAAATAGGTAAACAGTTAGTTTTGATTTATTTTCTTAGGAAATTGATTATCTTACAGATTTATTCAACGAAGATTTTAAATATTTGGGATCAATTTTTTTAATTTTAAAATTAAAAACTACAAATTATGTAAACATATTAAAATTTAGACTGCGTAATGTAACGCAGTGGATATTTCAGAAGTTGTCAAGCTCTGCCGAAGTTAAGCTTCGCTATTAGTTGTCGGATGGATTACCACACGCCAATTTTAACGGCGTCTAACACTCCGTTCCCTAGTATAAAATGCTAGTGGAAACCACTATATTTAATAATTCCCCGGGATACGCCAGTCCAATCTTCAAACATTGGTTATCTATAACCATCCTGCGTTGAAAATCAAAAATAAAATAAACTATAGAAATTAAAAAAAAAAATCAATGAAAAATAATTAATTAGTTAAATTTATTTATTTAGTGTTCAATATTTGTGGTAGCTAACGTTTTTCAATTTTTAAAACTATTTAAATGTCTTAAGAAAATTTAGGCTATTATTGCAAACTTTAGTGTACCAATCGTACATTTCAAAATCATAAAGACCTTGCGAGTCTAGTCGAATCATATTATAATCATTGTCACTACCTCACAATACACGTAGTATCTGCATGTACATATGTATTACTTTTCACCATACACGAATTCAAATCCTAATTACATCTTTTTGGCGTTTACTTAATGACCCCTTAAAATGGCCTTCGTTTTTTCTTAGCCTCGCGAATATGATTTTTCAACAATAGTACATTGGCCTCTCTCTTTGTAAATAAATGTTCTACTCGTATCTATTTGTTAGACAATTTATTTTATAAATTTGCGAATATATGATTAATAGTTGTTAAAAATTTACCAGAGTTATTAAAACCTTGTTTTGACCTTCATAAAACGGTTTTGTGTAGATTTATTTTTTTGTTTGTATATCTTTTAAAAGTTCAAATTGTATTATTAATTATGAATTTATTGACTGAAAGTACATTCAATTATACTGTAGTATTGATTTGGTTCCATTATGGATATTCACTAGAAAGAGAAGTTAAATATACTAAAGTATAAAAATTAATAGTTGTTATTATGATAAAATTTCTTAAAATTCTATGAAATTAATAGAAACATAAATTTAAATATTCAGAAAATTTAAGAAAGCATTCCATGTTTTCTGGTTTAAAGAAATTGATTTAATTTTGTCATTGTCGTTTTAAATGTCAAAGATCACTCGAGTTGTATTAACTTCTCAGTTTCCACCCCTATCTTAAGGCTTTCGTGTGATTACGTCATACTACCTCCCATTACTTTGGCCCACTGTGGTGTACAATAGAATGTAGTGAAAGGGGAAAAAGGGGAGGATTGCGATATATTGCGCCATCCTTTGACTCACCCATACGTAATGCTTTAATCTATAAAATGTGTAATCAAAAGTTGTTAGTGATATCACAATACGATCGTATTATAATTAACTTAAATCAACTAATTTCTTTTTTACTAAATATTTTATTGTGAGATTAGGATGTCTAATTTATAGTTAAAAATACTTATACATTTTCATATTTTTCGCTCTTATTTTTCTTCTTCTAAAAAAAAAAATAAACATATTTTTTTACTTGAGTTATAATGTTGGTTTCTAGGGTGTTGCTGTGAATATAACCCTTTAAAATAATTTATTCCTTGTAGCCATTTCTGGACATTTAACAACCTCTGCTATACATTTTAGCGTGACTACCTTGGACGTCAGCCCGGTATACTCTATGTCCCTACAATTTTTTAGATATAGTGAAATTATTATAGTGAATTATGATTCTTTCATGTTTAATTTATAAATTAAAAAAAAAATCATTTTATAAACGCCTCAACACTTGGTTTCTAGATGATTTTTAACCTTGGTTGGAAAAAATATATTTTTTCTATACAATTGTAATAAATTCAGAAAATGTTATTCATTTTTCTTGAATGTTTTACAAGTCAAAGCATGTGATTTAATTTAAATCGAGAATATTATATATTGTTTGAAGTTATTTTTTTTTTTTTATGCTTAGCACAGTTTATTATGACACGTTCATTTTACTATTTATTTTGTGAAACATGTATACAGGAAGATAACATTATTTTGTATGTATATTTTTGTACAAGTTTTAATATATATTTTTTATTGTCTATTGATTCATTAAGTAGATATTTTTCTACGAGCTTTGTTATACACCATACATTTGTATACTATTTAGCTAACACAAAATAGTATGAAAATTTCGATTTAGCCGTATAAATTGTAGAACACCATATCCAAACCCTATAAAATCGTATGCTTAACCAAGGATAGGGTAATACGTTATTAGTTGATGCCTAAAAGAACCTTCAGTTATTAATAAATTAGTATTTTTTAATTAATAATTTATGTACTAATTTTTCAACAATTTATACCGAAAACAATGTAATTTTATGTGCATTAAATGTTCAATTTAAAGGGGATGAAGGGGTAACCTTATGGGTTTGAGGGGTTTGTTGGGCGGCGTTTGCAGTCTGACGTCAGTGAATTTTGTCGCCGCCCATCGGCATAGCTAAGGCGCGTACCTGCTCTTCAAATCCAAGTCTCATTCAGCGAGGCCACAAGTGTCAATGGACAACGGCTGTCTGTTAAAAATTTATTTGAAAATTCAGTTGTTATAACACTCAGTATTAACTCAATAGAATTTCACAATTTTTTTTTATATTTATTTATTGTTTGATAAGTACCAATGACGCCGCAACGCGGGGATGGAATATTTCAAAATCATTGCCAGGTAATACTTTTAGCTCCATAATTTCACTGTGATTAATGTATATTATAAATACATTCATTTTTTGATTTCATACACTTTTATTTCGACACAGCATACGTTTTTTTTTATCGAGTATGGCATTTATTCATAGTATTAATACTAGTGTATTGTTATTGATTTTCAACAATTGTAATCAGATTCGTGTACAAAAGAAGCAATCTTACAATTCCTAGTAATCTTCTTACCAGACTCGCGAAAACGCCTACGGTCATCATTGAACTTGAGGTTCACTCTGTAGTGTTATACAGAAATTATTGCATAGCCAAAGGTATACGGTGTATGCATAGGTAGTACTACTGCATGCTTATTTGCTGCGTTCAAATTGTTCTTTGGCACCGTCACTTCGTTCTATTGTGCACATAAGACTTATACCATTGGAACTCGGCTTACGCCAGTTTTGTTGGTCCGAGTATATTTTTTTACAAATTTTTGCCATTTGTTAAGTCTGAGTTTTCACGATTGTCAAATACTGCATTTAATAGTTAGTAGTTAATGGCAAATTATTTTTAATGAGTTTATAGTATACTACTTGGCTATTGTTATGTATTTGAAGAAATTATCACAGTAAGTAAAAAAATATTTTTCAAAGAATACTTTTGAATAGCATTATTAATAATTATTTCATCTCTGTGTTTGCTCATTAAAAAAATTTCGTAAAATTCTGAACAACTAAAACAGTTGTTTTAAAAGTACATTCTGTACAATCATTTTAAAACTGTTCGTCGTTTTCATTATTAGTATTATCAACTGCGATACATTATTACTAATTTTTACTGAGTATTCATGTTCAATAGTACACGCGCAGCTTTATGTTGTAAAAATTTGCTTGTATTGTAAAATTGTCTAGTTGAATTGCTTAGTTTAGATTCTATACGTGTAAAAAAATTCTTGTCCATAAATAAACTCTCATTTATTCAACTTATAGAATAAAATTATTTTATACTTATTAATATATATTTTAAAGTAAAATAATTTGTAAAATGTTTCACACATTATTTTTTTTTATATCTAAAGTATTCATGCGAATACATGAATCATTATGTCATATGTTAAAATAATTTCATCGTTTTTATTTGACTTTTATATTATGTTTTTTTTTTAATCCTGATTTAAATTTTAATTGTTTTACCTACGCCAAATTATAATCTCAATAAAACTTTGAATAAGTGAATTTATAATTTAGCAAAGTTATTATGCTATTCATTTAATCATACATCATCTGAATGACACTTGTGAATTCGTTCTAATTATGATTCATCGAGTCTTTCCTGAGCTCGACGAATTCAATGATAACTTATCTCATGATACTGTCAATCTATTGATCATTTATTGATTCATGTTGGACGAGTTCATCTGCATAGTTATGCGTTAATTTTTTTCATTTTTACTAATATAAAAGATCAGTTGATTTTTAAATCAGCTTAAAAGAATGTTTTGCAAACCTAATACATTATTCATGTATAATAAATTGCGTAATTTAAGTTAGCTTTTAATTTATGTATAAAACTTTTTTTTTAATTTTGGCCATGTTTTTGTGCGAATATCTTTTTGAATTCACATTTGCATTTGGACGCATATGGAACACACCTGTGCATGCACAATTATTTGACTATTGTTATTTTCTAACTGCGTTTAAAGACTAAAAACTTGCTTAATCTCGCAATTTTAATGGACATTATTGGTTTTTAGACGAAGTATTAATGTTATAATAATATCTTAATACTTATAATTGAATATTAATTATATACCTGGAACGCTGAAGTTTTGTCTGTTGTTAACAACAAAAATATGTTTAATGCGGATCTGTCCGACTGTCGATTAAAAATATCTGTATGAAACTGTGTTAAATGTTAATAATTTTAACTAAATAAAACAAAAAATCTAGTAAAAACTATTTTCCTGACGTCGCCATCAAAATATTGGTGATAATTTTAATAAAAAAATCTAGTTAAGTGTGTGAATCTTAAGGTTTGTACTGAAAAATTTAAAAATGAACAACATAAAGTTTATCAGGACCTACAAAATATTTTGAATAAAATTATTAAAAATGTATGTTTTAATTTATAGTAAAACTATTGTATAATAATAAATTCATGTTGTGTATTTTTTCTAAACGAGATTTACATTTTACTTTTGCCACGTGACCTTTATTGGACATTTTAGTTTAAAATATTACTTGTATCTAAAGTATGTTACGTCACTGTCATTTTAGTATTTTATATGTAAATGACGAGAGTCTGTTGTAATAATATCTTTTTTTTTTCTTTTAATTCTTATTACGTCTTACGTTATTTGATAGTGTAAATAAATTTAAGACTAACTTGCGTGTTATCTTTTTCAATGTAAATATATATATATATATATATATATNTTCCTCCCCTAGTGTAGTCCTTGCGGTCTTCTTCAACGTGCAGTTTTCTTCAATGTCTTATAGTTCTCTTACTTGGCATTGTAATTTGTTTGAGATTTTCATAAATATTTTTCAAAATTATAAAAATGAGATTATAAATTTAAGTCTAACCTAATGTCATATAAGTATTTTTAAAAATCAGATAAATTAAACAAAAACCTCATTGAAATTTAATTTAATAAATATATCATAAAAATAATATTTTTCCAAATCTTGCTAGAAAATTTAGTAACAATACAAAAATATTAATCAAACGGAAATAATTTTAACGACAATAACTTATTATTTAAATTTTTAATCCTATTTCATTTGGAAAAATATTATTTCCATAACATTGTTAATTAAAATAAATTTCAATAAGGCTTTTATTTAATTTTTACGTCAGTTTATCTAATTTTTAAAAATACTTCAACACTTACATGCCATTAGTTTAGACTTAAATTTAATAGAATTAAAAATAAAAATATGAGTTATTTTCGTTAAAATTATTTCTGTTTGATTAATATTTGTTGTCTTGTTACTAAATTTTCTAGTTAAATTTCAGAAAATTAAATAAATTCTCTTTATTCTATGGAAAAAATAGTTATCAGTATATGATAAAAAAGGAACTGTAGACTTTTTAAGCAATATTTTGACTCGTTAAGTTCCCATGTTCGGATTCCTGTTGATCCGAACTTGTAAAAACTTGTTTGTTGTTCTAAAATATAATAGATCATGGACTTTAGACTTGCGAAAGCGATGTATTTTTTTTACATTGTAGAGTGAGTCCTCAACATAATCATATAATAATATTGTGTTCAGTTTAATAAAAAAAAAAAAGTAACATATTTGTCCTGTTCACACAAAATACTCAAGTGTAAACATTTATTTTTCCAGTGAGCCGATTGCATTGCGAGAGCGAATCATTCAAAATGGAACTGATTTTGGACATCAATTCTTGGGTGTACCCGATGGATTTGGGTGAGTACTTACAGCTTTATTTATCTATTGGCAATGCAAACAGCGGGAGATTGTTGCTTTTTAAGTAACTTAAATGCGTCGCGGATGGCCGTTGTTAGTGTATTATGCGAAATTAAGCTACTGCGTGCGCGCGCGCAAGCATATACACATGGGACACGGGCGGCATTCAAGGCGCCTAGCGAATTTAACTCCTACGCCCGCCGCCCGTCCGCCGCCGCTGTATATTTGGCAAAACGCGAGAGTGCGTGCGCGCTTAAAACACGAGAGGCCCCTTATGGGTTGAGATAGGCACAAAGCTTTCGAAACACGCGTTCCTGTTGCCTGGTGGTATTTTCTTTTCGTTAAAATCCAACTCTTCCCATCTGTTGGGTATGTGTTATTCTGTCCAACGTGTCATTAAAATAACACAATAATAGCGAGTGCGCGCGCGCCACCGAGCGGTACGCCGCAGCCCGTTGCTTCTCCCATTGATTGTCATTAATATATTGTCATTTAAATATTAGTCGTTTATTTCCCCAACTACTCAACTGCATGGTGTGCGCGTACTGTATACATGACCGCATTGCACAACTGAGCAACTTATTTGTCAACAATGCGGTAAATTGTAAAAAAAAAAAAAAAAAAAAATTATGAAATTTTGTATCTTTCTAATTAACCGTTTCGTTTTATTAAATGGGAGACCGCCGGGGTGTCCCCGATGTGAACGAATCGATATCAAGGCCTGTTTCAAGGTTGGTAGTACCTTCGCGCGGCGCTAGAGAAAATTCATTAATGACACACAACTGTCTGTATACATCGGTACATGATAATCCGACGCGAATCCGGATCGCAAAGCAAATTTATTATTTCAACATTCTTATTAAAAAAAAAAATTCTTAAGAAAATAACAGTAAAATGCTAGTAATGTTTTCACGTTTTATTGTCGAGGTTTTATAAATTTATTGTTAAGGTTTCCTCGCTATCTAACACTCTTATTGATAAAAGACATACTTGTGTTTTTATGCTGTGATTATTTTTGTGAAATACTTATGACTAATGTAAAATAAATAGACGATGACTTGGATGTTAATAAATCAAGTCGGTAATATTTAAAATGAATACATTTTTAAATAAAATGTAAACTTAAATTTGAAATACAAGTCGAAAAAAATATGTAACGTCGACGTTTGGTTAATCGATGAGGAAAGTATTCTGCAGTGAAATCAACTGTAATTATGGTGGAATTAGAAAACTAAAAATTGTCACGTAGTGATACAGACGAAAAAATTTGCACGTGGGCGTCAATCATCACAACTTCTACTTTTTTTTTACATAAATTATAAATTATTTGTAAAAAAAATTCACTAAACTATATAAAGCTCATTGTATCCAAAACGATTGTTTTATATTTTTTCTCGTGTCTAGTTAACGGTTCATTTTTGGCAATCCATAATTAACTTCATGAAATTTACATATATGTGTATAACGAAAAAATATTAAAAATCTGTTCTTAATAAAAAAAAAAATGGGCTAATTGTTGACTTATTTTATACGATCAAAAAATAGTTCCTTGTCCGATAAATAAAAAGAAACACCGTAACTTAATTAAGATTAAGTTATATTGTCAAGTACTCGGTACAATATGTTTGCACTGTTTGACACGATGTTTCTTGCCAAGTATCTAATATTTATCTGACTATAATGAACTTGGATGAATTTCATAGACAGTCATATACCATTATAATTACAAAACTAAAATGTTGAAAATAAAAATATATTATTATCCAAGGTTGCCGTCGTCAGCTGGTGCTACACCGTCGCATCGATTAGCCCCTTCCCCTTTTTTTCTTCGAACGGCATTGCCCTCACCGTTTCACTATTCGACCCACACACGATCTCTCCACACAGCAGCGTCGCCGGCATGACGCAACATTCGGCATAGTGTGTCAGGTCTCTGCCGCGCCGGTCCATATAATCGACCGCTCCTCCCGAACCCCCTCCGCCGCTCATCATTCAGTTGGTCGTCGCCATTACCACCGTCACCCCCACGTCACTGCCTCTATCGCAATTTCTCATTCCTCTCGCACCACCGTTGTTGTTTTCAATGCCAAGGTTAATCCGCTGGACGACTCAGTGCCAAGGTTGTGTATAGGACGTTCCGCGCGTTTTCCCCGCACCGTGTATCCTTCTGGCGGATTCCCCGTAACACCGTCTCACGGTCTCCAACCCGCATCAGCCCCTTTCGCACGCTTCTGTGTTGGCGACCAACTTGTAATAACTGTAAGGCAGCAAACGCGATAAAAACAGAATGTTTAAACGTATATGCTCATGGCTACGGATTATAAAAAGCCAATGTCGGGGAAAGTCTAAATAGGTAAAACCCTTATAACACATTTGATGATCAACAGAGTATTGATCCATGTCATAAATACTATTGACATTTATCTCATTTCTTTTTATCTATCCATTGCTATATTTTTATAATGTATTCTTATATACCTAATGTTTCATTTTTAATTTGTGGTATATTATTTGTAATTTTAAATTTATCAATATATTCAACTGGACCAGTGGACTTGCAAACTCGGGGCCCCTAGGCAGTTACCAAATTTTTAGCATATTTAAACATTTATTGTGAGAAGGGTCATCCCAGTAGCTTAATACAGGAAACCTTTCTACTTTCCCTAAATACCATAATTTTATGTCAATGGGAGGGGGTGCGAATCTCGTGACTTTCGTTTATATGCCACTGTTCTTATTTGGTATAATATTAAATAAAAACATTTCTATGTATCTATTGGGAAAGAGAAATTACTATTTGACGTATCATGATAAACTTTTGGATCCAAGGCAGATGTCATGCCTTCTTAGGCCGGGGGACCGAAGGAACTCGACCTCTGTTGACAGCAATACTTATTACTCTAAAATTAAGTGATAAGCAAAAATAAAATGTTCAGAATATGACATTTTGTAGATTTTTTACATGGCCCCCATTGCGAAATTCTGACTATGTCATTGCAACTGGTTATAATAAAACGGAATATTAATTATATTTATGTATGCACATGTCAATTAAATTTTAGAGTTGGCTGAATTAGATTATCTTACTAGAAAAATTTCACATAAAATAACTAATAATTTTATTACGTATTTCACAATTTTGAAAAATGTCCTTCCTTTAACAATTAAATATTAATTTTAATACTCATCAGATTAGTTGAAGTATTTGTTACTGTTTAGTTAATATATTCAATGAATGATCTATTCTAAATACATACTTGAATGTTTTGTTGTTCATAAAAACTCACGTGTTGTTCTTACAATAATAATAGTTCAATTTTTTCTTATGAAGATGTAACAAAAATTTAAAATATTATAAGGTAACATCACCAGCAAATGAAAACTACCAAAGAACAAATACCACTGAATTTTTAACTAAACAATTTTCTAATTTGATTATAACAAGTTGTAGTTACTTTTTTTAAATCATCATTGTTAAAATATTACAAATTATTTTAATTGTATAAATAAAATGTTGCAGTTAAACTTTATGCAACAAAAATTATTTATTTAATATTTCATAATAATTAACCTAGCATAATATCAAATAATTTGTTTTTTAATAAAAAATAAAATACATTCAAATAAATAAAAGATACGTTTAATTTAATATTTTACAAGTTGATTATTTATTCTGTTTTTAGTATATTCATTTATTTTCAGAGTTCTCTGTAATACACATTTTTAAACGTTAAATTATAAATGTCTTTACAAAATACGTAGTTTGTAAAATCATTTTTTTTCTTAATAAAAGCAATTACATTGATTAAAATTCCAATTGTAGATGTTTGTCTCATAAAGGCAACGGTCAAAACAAACTAATGTGTTGATCGTTGCGTTCATTATACGTTCAATAATATATTATCATATTGTGCATAGTATAAAATTGGCTTTTTTTTAAGTAATATTTCTTCCTTTTGTAAGTCGCGCTATTTTAATTTTTAATAATGTTAAGTTTTAATTGAAATATGATGATTACTCATCAATTACTGATGATTATATTGTATGTAGAATACTTGACAATTTTCTAGATAATGTAGAATGTTTTGTTTAATTCAAAAATATCTAATTAAACATTTGGACTAACTTAAAAACAAATGTATTTCTTAAAAATAAGAAAATAAATGATATGGACCTTTTAAAAATATTTCAATTTTTTAAAATTTCAAAGATTTTTATTGTCATATGTAACATTCAAATTAAAATTAAATGTTTTGGTGATACTTACTTCATTTCTTATACTCAGAACCAGTTAATAAATAGCTGTGTACTAAGATAGGTCATAGTAAAATACAAATTATAAACAAATATTTCGTTTGATCTTTGCACGAATATTGAGCAAAAGTTTGCGGCTTTCATTTGTCATATACTGAAGAATTTTTTGCTTTTTGTAAAGGTGCTGTATGAAAATAAATCTATGAATTTTTTTAATACTAAAAACGGGAAACCCCAATAATATACATATAACACTGATAATTAATTAATTCAACATTTTGTCTTTTAACTAAAATATAAGAAACAAGGAACTGCCTTTAAGAGTTTCTATTTTAGAGGTATTTTTTAATGGTAAATGACCAAAAAAAATTGTTTGTTAGAGGTTCATATGAATAGACTATTGATTTATTTAAAGTTGAACGATTTTGTATGCCTCGATAGTCGATTATATTTAATGCAATTAGCATTATAATGTATATTCGGTCTTATAAACAAAAAACTAAGTTGTTTACGCGCCTAATCCAATGAAGAATTTATTGACATAAATATATATATTTATATAAACTGAAAAGTAATAACAAAAACAACTTGTATGGATCGTTATTATTGTATCTTGTTTATAATTATTAGTGTAGTGTAAGTAGAATAGGAAAAGTAACTGCCGAAAATAAAATTGCCAATGACGAATCCAACCGTGTTTTTTTTTTATTAGTGCTTTATCATTCTAATCTTAGACTTAAACTGGTTTATGTTAATCGATTCCTAGTTTGTCGACTGATTTGGCAATACATTGTAAATTGCTCGTGATCTTAGAAAAACTACGCAATTGCTGCATTATAATTAAAAATAACAATAAATCAATGAATAATTTTACAACATTAATCGGTTATTGGCATTTTCAGGTGATAAATTTCGTTTGGTTTTGGCAACTACTTTGCGTGAAGATGGACAACCAGATGCTGGTGAATGGAATCCTGTGGAAATGGAACAAAATGGTTCTAGAGCCGACAGTTTCGAATATGTGATGTACGGTAAAATCTATCGTATCGAAGGAGATGACAAGGCGAAGGAATCGCATAAAAACAAACTGTAAGTACCTTTTATAGTTCTTGATCAATATTAAGTTAAAACGAGTCAATTGAATTACGTTTTAAGCGTCAAACTTTGTGTATCGAGTGTTTGTTGTTGTTAACTTAATAAGCGAGATTTGTTTGAAGTTTAGACGGTAAAAATTGTTTTCGATAGTAAATGATGAAATTATAAAAATTTTACGTTTGAAAAAGCGAAATATTTTAAAACGTTTTAAGATATTTTTTTTGTTGCATATTTAAAGAAAGGAAATATTTATAGCTATATTTTTTTAACTAAAATAGTTTTGAAGTATTAGATTATCATCATAGTTGTAATGGAAATGCCAAGTACAAGTACAACACACTGGTAATTAAAATACGTGTCCGTATAAATTTTAAATTAGATGTATTTTTAAATTATATTTAAGGAATATATATAGAATAGTATAAAATATGTGTGATACGTACCGCCATCTATGTACATTACATAGTGTTCAAGAAGTTGCTGGATTTCAACAGTAGAGTGAGCCACTGGGATCTGCATTGAATTCTGTTATGTGGGACTGGGAACCCCGCGGTGTTAACTTGTCATAATATTTCGATGCATTATTCGATAAATCAGAGTGAACACAGCTGGTGGTATCTCAGTTTCATTGCAGAAAAACACTACTGGATCCAACTATGGTTTATAATTTGAATAATTATGTTACGATGATTTAACGATTAGATAACACTTAAGTTTCACTTGTAATCAATTTAATGTAATCAAATACATTTAAGTGCAGCGCTAGATCTTGTTAAGTTTTTTTGTTTTCGTGTACAATTTTTCGAGCGAGATTAATGTTTACAGAAATAAACGCATCGGTGTTTTATATCCTAATGTAAAAAGTCGGAGGGGTTGTGCAACGGTGATAAATTGTTTTAGATTTATTGCCAATTTGCTTGCTCATTGCAAAACAAGCTGCGAATAAGTCTTAAATTAAAACTTGGGATGTCTACTGAATTTAAATTCATTGTTATAGACTACTCTACATAAAATTATTAGCCAACCTATTGTTTTTTATTCAAAAAAGCTTTATTTTCAATTGTATGCATTTTTGAACAATTTTATTACTTTTAAAATCTATAATAATAAATATCTTATTAAATGAATTGTAAAAAATTATATATAATTTTTATAGTAACATATATATGCTATCCATTCCTTTGTATGATTTAAACTATACGTATCCAGTAAATACGGATCGGACCTACTGTTGGAGGGAACAAGATGATCGCACAATAATAATTTTTTATGAAACTTTTATTAATGTGTTAATAAATAAAAAATTGAATGTGTTATTTTAAAAAATTGTTCACTTAACATGAAAATGTTGAATTTCGTACTGTTAAAGGTAATTATTGTTTGAGGTGTGGTCGTGACTTAAAATTTTTCATTAAAATTATTAGAGTCCTCTATGGTTTATTCTATTTTTAAACTTGGATTCAAACAATACCATAAAAGCATTGAAAACGCATTTAGGTAATCGTTGCTCAATAACGTGTATTAATATACAGGAGGGCGTAATGTGTAGGCAATTTAGAGGCTCCTGTGTATTGCAATGCATAAGAAATAGGTGTGGGTATTTTGTAACGGAAATAAGCGGCCGCCAATCCTAACGATTTGTTTCCGTTCCGCTTTTACTGATGTAATTCGATACGATTGTTTTAATTTGCAGCCTTTAAGGTCGCGTTGGTGTTCTCAGTTTCTTTCACTTGTTGTAATTTAAGATAAAAAAAATATTACTTTTTGTTAAGACTTGGACGGATTAATAATACATCGTCAGAGAATAAAAAATATGATTCCTCAGAAGACTGTTTTCAAAAATAGAATTACCATGCAATTATATGGAATTTTTAACATTTATTTGAAATAACTCACTTTATAACGGTGCAACATTTTCATTTAGACATTAACACACGTGTAGTTATTTTTAACGTATTTACTAATCGAAAAAATTGTTTAAAAAAAAAAAATTCTTTAGAACCTTTTTGTTCTGTGGCAAAAAACAGACGAATGTATTTTTCAGTTATCAAAAATCATTAAAATTCTTAGAAACAGAGATTTTCCACTAGATTTTTTGTAATGAAAACANATTCTTTAGAACCTTTTTGTTCTGTGGCAAAAAACCGACGAATGTATTTTTCAGTTATCAAAAATCATTAAAATTCTTAGAAACAGAGATTTTCCACTAGATTTTTTGTAATGAAAACACTGGGATTATATTTTACCGAGTAGTCCCATGAATTTTACATTATGTTTCTCAATAAATTATTAGTTTGAAATCAAATTAGACTGTCTGTTTTTTTTTGTCGTGCGTGTTAGTGATTCTTCTACGAACTGCACTCAAATATTAAATAAGAGCTTACAAAGTCATGCTTGAATCGGACGAACAATACAAAAAACAAGAGGTGTATAGGATTGGTTGAGAANTGTCGTGCGTGTTAGTGATTCTTCTACGAACTGCACTCGAATATTAAATAAGAGCTTACAAAGTCATGCTTGAATCGGACGAACAATACAAAAAACAAGAGGTGTATAGGATTGGTTGAGAAACATTAGTGACGTGACACGAAACCTCATGTAAAAATTGGGTCAGTGGTGCATTGCGGCAAGTGCTTTACATTGTATTCGCTATCCAATTCTTTACATTGCTGCTACCCGTTATATTTTCCCCCAGTCACTTAATTTATTTTATGTTGTAGTACCTCTTTTCTGTTTTCCCACTGTTAGTTTTCTAAACCTATTGAACCTTTTGTCGACCTGATAAAATGCTATCGTGAAAAACCAATAGTACCTAATACTAGAAAAAAAATGTAAAGCAATGATAGTAACTTTAATCAAGTGTATTGATAGAACGTTTAATCGCATACTTTAACCCTTTTGCCAAATGGGCCACGTCCGTTAGATTAGGACGTTTATTGATAGCATTATTGTGATCATTGCCAACTCATTACTATTGGTTAAGACTAATTTAAACAAATGCTCATTTGTCACTACCATAATTGTATGCCCCCGATTGGTTTTTAATATGCCTGCTAATTATATTTCAACGATATTAAATGATGAAATAGTATCCATCACTATAAACATCTCAGAAATAGTTTCAATATTAGTAAAAAAAAAACATGTTTTGCAGTGTAATAACAATTCATTTTTTAATAATACCAAGTATTAATTCAAATAATGATTTTTATATAATTATCAATGTTTGTGTATAAATAAACACGTATTTCTGTTGCATTGATTATTTCGTGTTCAGATGGACTTTACATTTACCAAACCATATATGATAACATCGGCATAATTGATTGGTTTTGTACTTTGGTTTCTTTGTCGACCGACAGAAATAACCTTTGATGGCCACTGTTTCTTCTGAATGATTAATGATAACTGTTTTTTTTTTTTTTCAAAGTAATTGTTTTGTTATTTTATTTATTTGGAAAGACGTCGTTGGGTGAATATTTTTTTGGCGTTATCGTGTAAAATTGCGAACAAACACTTATTTCATATCAATTCATTAATAAAAAATACGTTAAGCTTGTGCAACTTGAATTTTTGGCGCATTTACATCATTATGCTGTTCACTGTGACCAATTAAAATATTTGTCGACCAAACAAAAGCTAATCGTAGCGATGTAATTTTTTCATCGCTATAATAACTATATAAGCGTTGGTAGCGCCAAAGCTAAATGTCCTTTGCTAATGCAGGAACTCCCTCTTGTTTTAACGTCACATGATCTTTTTATTACGCGGTAAAAAAATAAGAAGGAAGAATCGAATACTTTTTTTTTTGTTTTTGGCCGTGTTTCCAATTGCGGTGCTCTTCTGTTGGCTAGATTAGTGGTAGGAAGTGGGTGACGGACTTTTTTCTACTTGTACCTACATACGAGTTCGACCAGTAGATATTTTAATGGAGTAGCGGACTGATGGAGAGCGTACGCGGTTGCCGCCCGCGGATGCATCGGCGTACGTTATTGCCGTTGCACATACGCACGCACGGTGTAGTTGGTACGGCGCATTGTGCAATAACGATAGCCCAACGCTGCTGTCACTGCTTTGGCGCCCACCGATGTAATATCCGTCGTCGCGTAGTTGTTGTGTTCCGTACACCGGCACCAGTCGGTGCTAACGCGTGTCGCGTGTTTGTCCCGTCATCCCGTTGCGTCGTGTCCGTGTATCTTTTCATGTAGTAAGTAGTTGTTTCGTTCGTCTGAACACTCGTGGCGTCTCATCTTGGAAAATTCTCCGGTCGGCCCAAAAGGTTCTCGAAGACCGTACCAGAAGTGTTTTTGACATGGACGAACGCGACGGGTTCCGATTCCGTTTAAATATTAAATAAATCATGTAAATGCACTATCTGGTACGACACTTCGGCGCCTTCTTAGCTTTTTGGGGTCGCATGTATTAATGTCTTTTTACAGTTTACCTTATCTCTGTAACGCTCGACAATTGTTCAGCGCAATTTTGTGTTATTTTTTTTGCATAATTTTATTGTTCTAAAATGTGTATTTTTCATAAACAACGTTATTCTATAGAATTATTCTTAGAAATTATCGTGTGTTCGCTGTTACACAAAAGAAAAAACAGCTTAACTATCTGTTTCATTGAAATGACTTTGTAGTAGGTGTGACGACGTTCGTAGTTCTGACAAAGGACGTTTAATTAGGCGGTCGAATTAGTTTATACAATTTATTACTCACGTACTCATTTAACTAGGTCGGTCTATTTTTGTTAACCGTCGCCCTTGTGACCAGCACTGCAAATGCACTTAAAAGTTCACATTCTATTAGAATATTATTGATAGTGCTGTTAATCAATAAAATATTTTTTATGTAAGTGGGTAGTAGGCAACCTACATTTTTTTACACCTGTGTGTTCGTATTTTTTATTCGTATATATGTTTATTATAATTATCGTATTGACTAATAAGACATGATTATTTTATAATGTTATTAAATAATGATTAACTACTATGT